TTTATTATCTTTAAACCCTCCAAAAGAGCTATTGCCTCAGCTTCATTCACTGTTGTATGTCCACATGGTTCTGAACAGTCAATTTGTAATTCCCCATATAACTTGTTGGGCTTGGGTTTCCAATCGAGCTTTCATCAAAGTTAAATTTTAAAAATTTTTCCTAAAGAGGTATCCAAATAGCATTTCGAGTCTGTCTATCTTTATTAAGCATAGCAACTTCAGATGGGTCTAAAAAATCTATAATTTTGAGATAAACTTACTATCCTTGTATGTTGAAAACCGTTCAACTGCTGTTGGTAAGCTTGTTTGTTGAAATCTGTGATTTTTGGGATAAACTTACAAATGAGTTTAATGTAGTTATTTTGGTCTTAATTTTAGCTGTAATTTCGGCTTTTGTGCAGAAAAACATATATTCAGTATAGCAGATGTGAGGCAATGGGGGAGAGAGTTAGAGAGAGAAAGCAAGAGGGAAGGAGAGTCGAGAGGATAGGTAGAGTGGTAGAGAGAGGGCAAATAGAGAGAGAGAAGAGTGTTAATGCGTGATTAAAAAAAACCTAAAGGGAAAAGAGAAAAATATGTATTTTTGTCATAATTTTTATTGACTTCTTGATTGGAGGTAAATACAAAAAAAAAAATATTGAGGTCTAAGGTATATCTAGAGTATATAATACAAAAAGTATTGGAAGTAGGATAATAAAACTATGTGCATGCCTCAACCATTTTAGTGGGGTAAATATAAGGAAATTCATGTAAGAATAGTAACTATCCATATTTTTCTTTCTTTCCTCAACGCAAATGTAAAATATGTACCTGGAATTGGAATGTGGGTGTTCAATGTCAGAAATAGCTCGTGTGCACAATGAAACTTGCGGCATACAAAAAGGACACTATGCACATGTGTGAGTGAAAGAGAGAGCCCCCGGGAGGGGGGCCATTCGGGCGGGGGTTGCCGTGTGCATCAAAAAAGATTATGCAAGGTGAAAAAGAAAAAGGACACAGTAAAGGGAGAATGGGGTTGGGGTCGTGGTGGTAGCATCAGATGTGCCCTAGCTAAGATCTAGGATTTTATTTTCACCTAACTCCTTTAAAAATCACTAAAGATTTCAAAAAAGGTAGAGACTCATCATCCCTACTGAAATACCAAAAAAAAAAGAAAAAAAGGCTTTTTGGTAAGAGTTGATTGGTCTGAAAAGATTATAAATTTTTTATTGAAGATTAAAAGGCACACAAAAATCTTAAAAGGATGAGTCTATTGGGATGGCATTTGGATTTTATATGGTATGCCAGCCGGTGGACAACCATCTGATGTGTCTCTAACTCAGCTCAATATCTGCCTATTGTATTCTCGGTAAAAAGGAGAAAATCGAATAAAAGATAATAAAATTTGATTTTGCGGTTTAACGTAGGCTTTTAGAACATCACAACATAAATATCATGAAAAATAATTGTTAAGTTCATGTAGAGAGTTAACCATTCACTTTTAAAAGTTACAAACATATTACATGTCATATGCACCTTTTTGGCATGGGAACACTCATTAGGCATGATTCGTTACTTCTGATGCCAGGATCTTGATTCGTTATTTCTATTGCCAGGATGCTGATAAGAGGAGGCTAGAATGGATTATAAAATAAGAATTAAAAATTTATGGGATAAGTCTGTAGTTATGAATTTGTGAATTTTTAGATTTAAGACATTGCAGGTGACCCAATATAATTATGATTCAAATAAATTCGACACAAAAACAGCAATCAAAAATATTTTTTTGATTTTTCCTTCCTGAAAAAAGAATGTGATACCAGTAGATTGGATGTAGCCATAAGGCGAAAAAAATAATGATTGGTATAAGTATAATACAAATAATTGTTACTTACTTCTTAGTGATCGATCACTCAGCTACTAGAAACGATCCGATGAGTCTTAGTGATCAATCACTCAGCTACTAGAAACTATCCGATGAGTGTAATGAGAGGTATCTATTTATCTATTTCTTTACTCGAGATAGTAGGAGGTTTGAAAAAGAAGTGAGCGAGCATTAAGCTACTACAAACCTTCCTGATGAGTACAATGGCATGTGTATGTTTATCTATTTTTTTTACGTAATATGTAATAAGACGTTTGAAAAAGTATATTAGAATATGTAAAGTTCAGAGGTTTGAAAAAGTATATTAAAATATGTAAAGTTGGACTAGAAGTCTCTAAACTAATAACTAATTTTTTTTTTTTTTTTCTCATCTGGAATTATTTCACAAAGACTTCCCTTCATTATTTAAAAGCTTTTTTTTTTCTCATTGGATTTTTTCTTTTTCTTTTTTTTTTTTCTCATTGAAATTATTTCACAAAGACTTAGATTTTCATTCCTAGTCAAACATATAATTTAGAATAATCATGGTTGTTTTTAATAGTTACTTCCATTTCTAGTCAATCTTGTAATTTGGAAAGTAATTTTCCTTGTCAATCTTGTAATTTGGAAGGTAATTTTGTAATTTGGAAGGTAGTCAATCATATAATTTAGAATGATCATGGTTGTTTTTAATAGTTACTTTCATTCCTAGTCAATCTTGTAATTTGGAAGGTTCTTGGAAGGTTCATGGTTGTTTTTTAATAGTCACTAACATCTGCTAGTGAATGACAGTAATTTGGAAGTTAATCTTGTAATTTGGAGTAATTTGGAAGTTAATCTTGTAATTTGGAGTAATTTGGAAGTTAATCTTGTAATTTGGAAGGTTCTTGGAAGGTTCATGGTTGTCTTTTAATAGTCACTAACATCTGCTAGTGAATGACCGTCATTCGTAGTTAATCTTGTAATTTTGAATGGTTATGGTTGTTTTTTAATGGGTTGTTTTTGAATAGTCAATAACATCTGTTAGTGAAATGTTCCGCGTTGTGAATGTACTCCTTGTTTCAAATTAGAATTAAAATTGTTGTGAATTATTCAGAATTTATAGCAAATTACAAGTCTTCAACTTTTTAACTTAATCCAGAGAATAATAAATGCTCTAAACATGCTTGTTAAACATAATTAAACACATCTATCGTATTATTTTCTAATTTAACTCTTGTATAATTAATTTCCAATAATATCTCAAATTATACATTCGGCTTTCTTTTTATTCTTTCTATTCGACTACAAAGAAAACGATGCATACAATATGCTCTCTAACTTCCACGGCCAAACAGTTGGCATTAGAAGTATATGAAGTTTTGGAATCTCTCAAATATTTTACTTCAAATCTAATCAACGTGTTCAAATATCATCTCGACCCTAATGAATAACGTCTTGAAAAAATCTGGAAAGGGTACTCTAAAAAGTAGGTTTGCCCTAATTTGTATATCTGCATGCATGTTTAGACCTACAGATATACAAGAAAGTTTTCGTCAAATATTAATTTAAAGAATAATGTAGATTTGAGCACATACATAAACATTTAAAAATCATGAAAATAATAAGTTAGGATAACTTTTTACAAAATATACCATTTTTGGGACTAGAAATGCTTTTTTTCCTTTATATATGTACATATTGAGGTCCAAAAGATCAATTGAAAAGTTTTCTAACACTCTTTTTCCACTAGAATTATGAGGTGCATCTCACTACCATACATAAACTTTTCCCTGGAATAAAATACCTTCTGTATACCCAAAAAAAAAAAAAGTCACCTAAGTTTGTCCTTATGTGGTACAAATTCTAAGCCTCAATTAGTCATTTCTTTACAAATAGAGAGAGTAAGCAAAAGGCTTTAGAACCACTCAAGTTTTGACAAGAAACATAAATATAGAACAGGCTATTTTTTTATTTGAAAAATCAATATTGAATAGCATAAACAAATAGAGAGAGTAAGCAAAAGGCTTTAGAACCACTCAAGTTTTGACAAGAAACATAAATATAGAACAGGCTATTTTTTTATTTGAAAAATCAATATTGAATAGCATAAACAAATAGAGAGAGTCAGCAAAAGGCTTTAGAACCACTCAAGTTTTGACAAGAAACATAAATATAGAACAGCATAAACATATTAAGTGAGTAAGCAAGAAGTTTTAAAAAACAATAGATGAAAAAAATAAATATAAATTAACATATAGATTCTAGGTATGTCACGAGAAAAGTTCTTTTGAACTTTGATCTTGATCTATAAAATAAAAGCAGTCACCCAATTTCACATCTTATAGTCATGATTAATTTTGACAACATTGTAGCAAAGAAAAATAGTCCCATTTTTCCCATTAACTAAACATTAGGTTTTACAAAACAATGTGTGAATGAGAGAAAGAGCAGGATTGAATCTTATATTTGATCCGTCAATAAAACATCTAGCGTGGATTTTGAACAGGAAAACAATGTGCACTTCCTTTTTTGTCGAGAAGAGAACTAGAGAGTGAATGGGTTTTGAAAAGAGAGAACAAAGTTTGAAAAAATAAAATTTTAGAGATAACATATTTTTGGAAAGACAAATAGAGAGGACGGCCGGATGAAAAAATAGGTGCATGTCCCCACCACTCTTCCCAATATTTTTTAATTCCCAATGCCTTACTAGGAGTTTTAAATTTTCTAAAAAATGTTCACATAATTTTTTATAGATTTTTTTTTAACTTAAAAGAAAAGTTTGGATGGAGAGGCCTAAAAGAAGAACTTCTAAATGGGACAGGTTGGGCTTATATTTGGGCCAGCCAAGACTCAAAACACTTTCGAGCCGTGTGCAGGCCGTCCTGGGCTTAATAAAACATATTCAACCGGTCTCCATAATCATAACTTTCGGGTCGGGGCCTGCCCGGCCCAGGCCAAATTGGTTTCAAGCTATCCCAGGTTTGAGCCGGCCGGGCCAGTAGCAGCCCTAATTACAATATGGATTTTTCTTGCTGTGTAAGTCCGGGCTCTTGACCATCAAAACGAATAGAATAGAAACATCATCATGTTTGTAACATACGGTTTCCATACTGGATGATACGAAGATACAATGAAAGTAGGGTGTAATAAAAAAAAGTGATTGGGATTATCACAATATTGCTTCAAAATGGTTTTATTTAACTACAAATAAAATTTCCAACACAAGTAAAAAGAATTAAGTAACAATCTTCGCTAAAACACCAAGCCTCTGGTGCTTGTCTTCCATAATCCCTAAGGCCTACCTTCATACATACATAACAATAGAAATACATTTTCCAAATGAGAAATCATAGCCCCTTGGTAACCCATTTGAGTGGGAAATTGGGAACCAGATGCTGCAAGTACAGCCACAAACTAGTGACCTACAGGCTCATTTTAATGTACAATTTATTGAGAAAATGGACACTAAATTAATAAAAAAAAAACATGTTTGGATATGGGGAAACCACATATAAACAAATTCTTTTCATGAGACGGGGAGAGATATGGCCTACATCACAAAATTGCAAACCTAGCAACATTGAAACGCTCATTGTTCTTCGATTGAAGTCATGCGGAGGAGTGGGTTGCATCTCCTGGTTTTGGCCTAACATATCCCAAACTCTTGAGCTTCTCTAGTAGTTTTCCCTCAGCATCAGCCTGAAAGATAATCCCAATAAAAGCAAATAAAAAACAGGGTTTCCAAATGTAATTAAGGTGAGGAACAAAGTGCATGGGCATCAAGCGAGAAATATGCGTGCCATTTCATCAAGGGAGAAAATGTAAAAAAACATGTTTTAGAAGGAAATTGAAAGGTAAGCCTAAAAGGACATGGTTGGAAGGTATTGAGAAAAGATATGGGTACTTACAGCATCACTAAGGGTATAGCCCTTAATAGAGCAGAATGGTGGACCAAGATTCACGTAGCCAACCCCAATTCGTTGGAAAAAGACTTCAATAATGATGATGATCATGATGATGATGATGGAGGAAATTGAAAAAATTTAGCTAGTCAAAGGATAATTATATGTTTTAATGGTAATATAATATGTGTGTGTGTGTGAATGAGGAAGAGAGGAGGGGTGGGGGAAGGGAGAAAGGGGTGGGAGAACACGGGGCTTGGCTCCAACACAAGTGTGACATGCCAGGTGGATGTAGCAAGATAATGTTTGAGAACTAGGAATTCTAATTTTGCGTTCAAGGGTTTTAGGTTCCTATGGTAGATTAGGACAGTATGATTTTGGGCATATGAAGGATTCCCTAGTTGGGGTAGAACTAAATAATACAAGGTTTAAATAAAGTAGAACTAGGGTTAGCGTTGCAGGGAAGGGTTTGCTTTAGGTTAAGGCAATGATCAGGATAAGTTACATAGTTTTTGAAAGGGCTAAAGCTGTCTAGAATTTAGGTGGCCTAGCAAGATAAGAGGACGATAAAATGGATTCTAGGATTGAATTAAAGCAAATCCCGAGTTTAAACTTAAGTTTAAAGGCTATGAAGGGTAGATATATGATAGAGTAGCTTTTGAGCAAGTTTACCTATGTTTTGATAAGTTTGACTAGCGACCATAAAAAGGTTTAAATGGGTGACAAATTAGGCTGTAGGAATCTTGGATGGAGATTTGTCGCATGAGGAAAATGAATAAGGAGGCCCAAACCCAATTGTGGAGAACTTTCAATCCACAAGCTAGGATTTTAGGAAATACCTACCCCAAAAGAAGAAGAAGGGTACCCAAACTTCCAATCCACAAGCAAGGTTTTGGAGAAAATCTCCAACAAAAGAAGGCGGCGCTCAAACCTTCGGAGAAACTCTCCAAACCTAGGCTAGAGTTCTAGAATCACTCTCTACAAAAAGAGATGATGAATCTAAAGATGGCCTTTAACCACAATCAAGAACCCAAACTTTACTAAACTTGAATATGAATTGGCAATAGGCCCATTTGCCCTATACTTGGGACTCTTGAAAAGAAAGAAAACAAACTCCTAATGACCCTAGAAAGCTAACTCAAATGTCTCTAATCCAACTAGGATTGGAACATTCTAGAAACCTAATAATCTAAAGAATCTAAAATTAAAACCTGGTAACAATAAGGACTCAATAATAATTAAAAAATAAATAAACATTATACACTTCATTGATTTTTTGGATCTTACGGAGAATATGACCCTTAATAGAGGAGAATAGCAGAACAAGATTCAAGTAGCCAACCCCAAATAGTTGGGATAAGGCTCTGATGATGATGATACACTTTAATTAGTTTTATAACAAGTTTTCAACCATGATTTGAACCTAGAAACACTAGAATTACAAAATATCAATGAAAATATGATTGTAGATCTCAAAGAGATATTCGGTTTAAGCTTCTGATCTCTCCAAACCAATGGTTTAAAAAGCGGATCGATGACCCGGATCGGGCACCTCAAACACCGATCAAGATCGGCGAATCGGATCGGGAATCGGGTGAATCGGTCAGAATAAAGCTTCAAAAAAATCCGAAAAAATTATTAAAATTCATTATAAATATTGTTTTTTAGAAATTCAATAAGAAATGAGGATACTCCATTAAGAATTTTCATGTTTTTGCATGAATATACGAATATTGATATGTTATTTCCCTGCATGAACTACTATTCAACATTTAATTTACATCACACAAAAGGATAAACATAGAATTATCATGGAATAAGTATATCAACATACATAGACTACAATAAAGCATACAATCAGTAACATACGATCTAAAAATAAAATGACAGACAACGTTGTTGTTCTTCTTGGTCACGCTGGTGCCATTGATTGAATTCGTTTGACAATTCATTGATTCGATCTAAAAACGAATCATCGATATTAGTAGGCTTCTGACTATACCCAAATCCCCAAGTGTTAGTGTTTTGTTGTGTTCCCAATCCAAAGTCCCCGAAGCTTGTCCATCCTTCATGCTCACCTACACTGTCGTGCTCATCCCTACACTGTTGCTGTTGGGACTCGATATGTGAATAATATGACTGGGATAGAGTGGCCTCAGAATCATCGTCTCTCTCATTTTCTCTTAGACCCCCTTCACACTCTCCCTCATTAGGTGCAATATCACCGACATCTCCGACGAATTGTGGATACGTTGGCTGGCTGCTTCCTCTTTCATGCTGCTCATCACCTTCTTCAAGATCTTCCTCACCGATAGCCTCAAGGAACGCTCTCTCGTGCAACACTGGCTCCTCTTCTACTACCCATTGGTCTGCTGTGTCTGTGACAAATATTGTGTCTAAGTCTATCGGCCCATAGTCTTCAAGCTTCCTTCTTATTTGTCGCTCTCGGAGGTTTAAATTATAATGAACGTACACTAGTTTATGAAGCTTCTCAGAAGCAAATCGATTCCTCCTAGTAGTGTGCAACCATTGGAATGTACTCCAGTTACGCTCACAGCCAGTAGCAAAACATGTCTGAGAGAGCACCTTGATTGCTATCCTCTTTAGGTGAGGTGCATCAGTACCTTATATCTCCCACCATTCAGCTGGATTAAAATGCAAAAAGCATTGTAAGGGCAAGAACAATTCATAAGATTAAACATATGAATGAACAAAATATTAACGAGGGGATAACCTAGATCCATCATAGTTCAAGAATTCCTAACAAGTCTAGTTCTGAAGGATCCTATAGCATTCCTATACATAGCAAGCTAAAACAAATATATTACGTTTTAGTGCATTATTCCTCACAAATATAACAACTCAATGAAGTTCTTACCCAAACATTAAATAATACCTCTTGTATTGCTGCTACTTGGTGTGATGGCTTCTCTCCAACCTTGCAATAATGTATCTGACCCCTTCCATAATCTTGTGGGGGTGTTCAGGTGTCAAATAGAAAAATTTTGGGTTTAAGTAATGACCGACAAAATATATAGATAGAAACATGTCATTTACAGTTTCATAGAAAAATGATTTAAAATGAAACAGTGTAATGATATAAATATATATTTACCAGCATAATGAATTGGATGTCCAAATTTGGTGTTCCACCTCCTTTCTATAATCTCGATCACTTTGCTAGAAAAACTACACTTCTCCCCAATAGCTGATTTCGCCCTCTCAATACCTTCATAAAGGATACCCATGGTAGCTTTCTTGTCAGTATCCACCATTCTTAACACCGTGACCAAAGGGGCAGTGGCCTCTACAACACTGGAAAATCGAGACCAGAACCGCCTATTTGAGACTATGTTGTCCACTTTTATACCGGTACTGGACTTCGAGAGGCGGTCATTTAACCACTCTTCACAGGTAAACAATCTCTTTAATGCACCTTCAGATTCTCGAATGGAGTCCACAGCTAAGTAATCGGTCGAAAAGCGGATTATGACAGGCCTGATTATCTCTTTTTTCTTAGAGTGTTCTTTAAACATAAATAAAATTTTAGAGTGGTTGTATATAAATCTCGACACCAACCTTGCTTCCTCTAAAGTCTCCTTCACAATTTTGATCTCACCAATCTCCTCTAATATAAAATCGATGCTGTGTGCAGCACACGAGGTCCATACTAGATGCTTCCTCTTATCCATCAACTTGCTGCCCGCAAAAACACATGCAAGCGCGTTGTCCGTAATAAACTGAACTATATGCTTATCTCCCACCTCCTCTACTATCTGATCATATAGTCGTACGTAGAAGTTTGCATCCTTCTTCGTCCCTAATACGTCTTTGCTAGACAAAAAAGCTGTACCTTTTGGAGAATAGGCCAAGAAGTTTAAAAAATCCTTTTTGCTAACTTTATTCAACCAACCATCACTCATGAGTGTAATGCCTGTCCTTGGCCAACTCTGTTTATATTCTTCAATCCACTGTGTAACTTCCTCCACCTGTTCATCTAATATTGGCTCACTGAGCTCATATGCCGTCGAGGGTTTTACCCCGAGCCCGATTTTTTAGATTGTACTGGCCATAGGTGAAAAATATGGGCTATTGGCTGCATTAAAGGGAATCCCTTTATCGTAGAACCATTTACCAACATATCTCCCCAACATGTTTCTTGTACCTTTAACTATGCCTTTTAGGGTCATCTGTAGTGACTTAGGCTTTGAGAGAAATGGGTCTTTACGACCATGACTTACAATACTGGCACTCCTAGGTAACCTATAAACAATTTCTTCAACATCTGATTCTCCTTGATACATATTGCCACCAACCCCTCCATACATATTTGAGCTGGGCCCGCCATACATGCTTGAGCTGGACCCGCCATGCATGTCTGAGCTAAACCCACCATGTATGTCTGAGCTAGACCCACCGTACATTCTAAACCCACGTTCCCTCTGATATTGTTCATGTAAACTCAATCTTGTGGCCATGTTCAAGTCATTATTATATTGCTCTTCTGTATCATTCCTGCTTGATGGCGTATATAAACTAGCTATCTCCTCATTCATCCTATGTTCGACAATTTTTTTACCTTTGTTAGCATTAAGAATTACCGCCATCTATTTTTTTACATTACTAGGGACACTAGTGCAAACAGAAACATCTCCCTTAACCCCTGCCAAGTGTTGCTTGAACCTATGTACCCCACTACTTATCACTCTTTGACAGTAATTACAAATAATTGTCTTTTTTGTTGGGATCAAATCCGACCCCATATTGCCATGCAGGGTCTTCTGCAGATCTTGACAT